AAACACAACTGACAGTTACTAGTGTATCATCTAAAGCACACTCCTTACATCTGAAATGCAAATATTAAATTGAGATAAAGCCTTAAAGTACTTTCATACAATGATCATATGGATCAGCAATGTGTTCTTGCACAGTGCCTATGGCATCCTCAGGTAACAAGCTTGCACCCTACTCAGTGGCTGTCAAGGGATGGCCCTCCCCGTCTCCTCTCTCTGACACAGCCTGCACTGCACATTCAGTACAAACTTCAGGACACCAGGAGACACTCAGGTTATCTTTTTTTATTTTTATTTTTTGAGGTGGACTCTCGCTCTGTCACCTAGGCAGGAGTGCAGTGGTGCAGTCTCAGCTCACTGCAACCTCTGTCTCCTGGGTTCAAGCAATTCTCTGCCTCAGCCTCCTGAGTAGCTGGGATTACAGGCGCTTGCTACCACGCCAGGCTAATTTTTTATTTTCAGTAGAGATGGGGTTTCACTGTCTTGGCCGGGCTGGTCTTGAACTACTGACCTCAGGTGATCCACCCACCTCAACCTCCCAAAGTGCTGGGATTACAGGCATGAGCCACCGCGCCCGGCCAGGTTGTGTTTCTGTGTCACAGCTCCTGTGCCCTGTAGCCATGCTCAGCACCTGAAGAACATCAGTAAACCATGGCCTGTGGGCTAATCCAGCCTGACCCCTGCTTATTTGTGGCCTGCAAGCTAAGTATGGTGTTTACATTTATTTAAGGTTCTTACATTTTCAAATGGCTAAAAAACCATAAGAATATTTTGTGACAAGTAAAAATTATGTTAAATTCAAATTCTGGTGTATGTAAATAAAGGTTTCTGAAACACAGCCCTGCTCATTCATGAATGACAACATAGCTACTTTTACACTGCATGGTGGAGCTGAGTAGTTGCTATGAAAACCATACAACCCAAGAAGCCTAAAATATTGACTATCTAGTCCTTTACAGAAAGAGCTTTCCTACTTGTTCCTGATGCAGATGAAAGAGAAATTGATTTAAAATGCTTGTGATAACAATGATTTAATGACACTCATATATATGCAACTCATCCAGAACTTGACTAGAAGTTAAGAAACATATTCTTTTAGTCACTCTCTTGTTCTACCACTGCCTAAGAGTAATCAGAGAAATGCAAATAATTTCTTCAAAATAAATGCACAACAGAAAATAACTGGATAGCTTAAGGGGAAGAGAAAGGCTCCAAAACCAGTCAGCTGAATTGGGTTGCATGCAAGCATGAATGCTTTGTAGAGATTCGTACCAAGTGTGTCAGGGTGAAATGGCACAAGGTCTGGGTGTACCTTAGCATACTTCAGCAACAAAAAGAAAAGTGAGTGGTGTGAGTGTCAGATCTTGATAACCAGGCATATGGTTAGAAGACAGCCCCTGGTGCCACTCCCACCACTGTGCCCTGACTTAAGGTGCACTGGGGCGCCTGGCTGAGATTGCTAGCCCAGGCGCCAGCCTCCTGCCCTCCCTCGAGACTCCTTGCTAGGCAATTTCTGGGTATTCTGGCCTGGCTGCTAGCTGGTGATACAACGACAGCCCGCGTGAGTGCAGACACCAGGGCCTGGTTTGGTCCACTCACACACACCCTCAAGGAGGCAATGCGTGGGGCACTCACTCTCTCCTGCACCAAGGCAGACGCACCTGGTGCACATTGCCCATTACTGGAGAAGAGTTTAACAAACAGGATGTTCTCAATGCCTCTTGGGTGATTAGACCTACATGGATGTTTCTGTAGGAGGTAAGGGCTGGCAGAGGTTTCTTGCAGAACATAGTTCATGCATTCAAACTGGCAAGCACATCACCTTCCCTCCTCTACTCCTAGCTGATTGACAGCAAGCTCCTCTAGGCCACTGCTCTCTAGAGTAGCCCAAGGCCTCATAGGAACCATGGGGTGGGATGGGGTGCTTTCAGTTTCAAAGGCTATAAAAGTTCCCAGAAGTAGCCAAGCTCAATCCTGAGGTTCCCACTTCCACCCCATAAATGAGGTTTCTGCGTCTCTTTCCTTTCTTCAACCTGCCTAAGTGTCAGAAAAGAATGAACATTATTGGGCTGGGAAGCTTTGGGGACAGGGTTGTCTGGGTCTTACACCCCAGTGCTTAGCACAGTGGCTGGTTGTTTGCACCTGTAAATGGAATGGATTTACTGCGACTTCAGTATATGGGGAATGCTTAACTGGACTTTAAAAATGCTTTTCTGTTTTAGCAAGCCATTAATTTCTAAGGGAGATTACCCTTTAATAAACCTCTAACACCGTGTGTGTGTGTGTGTGTGTGTGTGTGTGTGTGTGTGTGTGTCTGTGTGTGTGTATGTGAGAGACAGACACAGAGAGAGAGAGAGAGAGAGAGACAGAAAGAGAGAGAGTTTGAGAGAGCTTACCTGTGGTCTTTGATAAATCACCCTGGCATAGAAACTGCAACGGGTACCAAGATCATTCATCTGGAAAGGAATTAGAAAAGGCTGGCAGCATTACAGGAAGCACACAGACATGGCCAATACCTAAAGAACTTGTTAGAAACAAAGACATTACCTGGAGAATGTCTCTTAAGCAGCGAGTAACTGGAGGCTGGTAAAGGTTAGAAATGGGGTCTCCGTCAATTATATCAATTTGTCCCAGACACGGTTGAGCTGTGAAGATGTAACATAAGACTGGAGGAGGTAGATGAGTTTTTATCTGTTTAAATGAGGCAACGGTAGAAGGTGAATGTATTGTTAAAAGACTCAACACATGATTAAAATATCCTCTTTAATACAGACATATTTGCTTACAGATGTGTCCTCTCTCTGGAATGCTATACAATGAATGGATTACACTGTTTACTTCTGGGACCAAGTATAAGAACTTCTATACTTATGAACCTGTTAACAACTCAAGATGCCATTTTAGAAATCTTTCAGGGTATACTGAAAATATCATCTAGAAATTACTTCCTAAGTAATCTAGAAATGGGCTTTTTTTTTTTTGAGATGGAGTTTCATTCTTGTTGCCTGGGTTAAAGTGCAATGGCATGATCTTGGCTCACCACGAACTCTGTCTCCCAGATTCAAGGGATTCTCCTGCCTCAGCCTTGCGAGTAGCTGGGATAACAGGTATGAGCCACTATGCCTGACGTGTGTGTGTGTGTGTGTGTGTGTGTGTGTGTGTGTGTGTGTGTGTTTTCTATAATACAATTCCTCTTGGCAGGCTCATAATTTTGTGTTTTTAGTAGAGATGGGGTTTCTCCATGTTGGCCAGGCTGGTCTCGAACTCCCGACCTTAGGTGATCCGCCCACCTTGGCATCCCAAAGTGCTGGGATTACAGGCATGAGCCACCACGCGTTTTGACAACTATTATGCTGTCTGACACAGTATGGAGTCACAGACTTAGAAGTTAGCCATGACCTAAGGAAGATGTTTTGTTTTGGGAGCTCTGGCCCAAAGCAGCGGTTGTCTAGCCTGTGGGGAAAAGGCACAGGAGGAACAGGAGGGAACAGTTTTAATCCATTTTGCTTCTTAAACACTATCATAAACAAGCAGGACAATGGAAGTTCCTGGCTACCCAGGAGGTTGTACGAATGTCTATGGATTATATTGAGTTCCTGCTCTAATTGGTAACTGAGTGTTGGTTCTGTGAGTGACTAGAAGTTCATGGGAAAAATTCTATATCTACTTTAGTACGAGGCTGAGACCCCAGTCGTTCCAACAGCATGTGAGGGTTGTGGTTTAAGCATTCGTCACAAGTTAACTTCAAGAAAATGTTGTGCAGCACAGTAGGAAAGGCAACCAGAGCTTGGTCTCCAGGGACCTGAATCCCAATCCTGGCTCATATTCACGGGTCACCACAAAGGAACTGGCTGCACGGGGGTTCCTCATTGCCACCGAAGTGGGAGACATAGACCGTGTGGGTGGCAGTGACGATGACTGGCTTGGCACCTGGCATGGAGTAGCCCACAACTGGGGAAGTTTTCCCAATGCTGGGTTTACCTCTTCACAGGGCTGGTCACGGCCAGGTGTTTTCAGAGTTACCGCTGGGGGCCACAGGGTGTCAATCAGACTGAAGATCCCTGCTGTCCTGGAACAAGAAAAGTCAAAGGTATTCATCATCAAACATCCCTTCCTAAGTATTTGGTCAGTGAGCTGGTAGAATGCTTAACAGATTCTAATGTCTAATGACACGGAGCTACAATTCGAGATGTGTGGTGATTCAGATGGGGAAGAAAGAAGGCAGATAAATGGAGAGACACTGTGAGAAACCAACTGCAAAAGAATAAGAACCTGCTCCCTGAATTAGGATCCATTCACACAGTGAAATATTATACAGTCACTGAAATGGTTACAAAGAAAATATTTACGGACATGGAAACATATTTATGATGCCCTGCTAAGAAAAAAGCAGGCAATAAATTAACTTTCTCTCTCTCTCTCTCTCTCTTTGTGTGTGTATCTATGCATGCATTTATACATATTAAGCCAAAGAAAAAGACTGAAGCCTGTAAGAATGTTTTTAGTGGTTATCTGAGTAGAGCTTGGAGGTGATATTTACTTTCTTACTTTGGAGTGGGTATTTTGTATATGTTCCCCAAACAGCTAGGTATTACTTACGTAAGAAAAGTTATGTGGGCTGGATAAGGTGGCTCATGCTTGTAATCCCAGCCCTTTGGGAGGCCGAGTCAGGTGGATCACCTGAGGTCAGCAGTTCGAGACCAGCCTGGCCAACATGGTGATACCCATCTCTACTAAAAATACAAAAATTAGCTGGGTGTGGTGGCAGGTGCCTATAATCCCAGTTACTTGGGAGGCCAAGGAGGAGAATCGCTTGAACCTGGGAGGCGGAGGCTGCAATGAGTTGAGATCACACCACTGCCCTCCAGCTGGGCAAGAGGGAAACTCCATCTCAAAAAGAAAAANAAAAAAAAAAAAAAAAAAAAAAAAAAGAAAGAAAAGAAAAGTTATCTGAAGTAAGAAATACAGAGTTTTGTCTTTTGCACAAAAAGACAAAACACTGTTATGATTTCACTTACATGGCTCTCACCTTAGATCTGACTGCACTTCCAAGACCTGGCTCTAACCTTTACCTGAGCCCCTTGTTAACAGAGATGGAGAATAGCAGGGCCCCTGGAATCAAAAAACTCGTCTAGTGTAAGCTCTGCCTTTTATATACTGTGAGACCTTGAGAAGATGCTAAGACCTTGTGGCAGCCCTTCTGGGAAACCGGGGGGATGCTGCTGGCATTATTGCAGTGGGTAAAGGAAGTAAAGAATGCATGTGCAGCACCTACTAGGGTTTCTATGCTCAGAGTGAGTGCCCAACACATTAGCCACTTGACGTTACTCTAGTTATCAGTGTTGTCATTGCTAAAGCCATAAACTTTTATGCTGCTTTTTGCTCAAAAATCTGCCCAGTTTAAGACAGGATTTTAATCCTAGTGTTACTTTGTGAAGAAACAAAGTAAAATTAAGATAAAATTCAGTAAAATTAAGTAAAATTTATTCACGATAAAAGATGAATATAAAAAAAATGGTCTTCTTTTTTAGAAAAATAAACAACCAGTATAGAAAAATAACCTTTTCCAGACAGTGACAGAGTACTTATCAATTTTCCTAAAATTTTGGAGTTTCCCAAAAAGTGTTCTGTGGAGTGTAACCTATGAGAACAGAACTCTGTGGCCAGCACTGCTGTGTGGTGCATCTGCAGCTGGCAGGACACTCACATGCTACGGTGGGAGTGGACATGGTGGAGGGCCCAGAGAGCCTCGTGTAAAAGGTGCCTGTGACACACTGTTTTAAACCAAAGCTTCTCCTGTTTTTAACCATGAAACCCCTTTTGGTGTCATCACTAATCACGTCCTCAGAAACTAGTGTTCTCTTGGAATTCTCTTTGATAAATGCTGTTCTGGAAGCACACAGCCATAGGAAAGTTCTATTTAAATTTAAAGACTTCTGTTTATTTAGAGGATGCTACCACCTAATTCAAAGACTTTAGACATATTATACATTTATATTCAATGCAAGATGCTTAGCTGAAGAATGGCTATGAGTTAAATAAAATGCCTAGTGTCATAAAAAATTAGCTTCTCTACTGTTTTTAAAAACTATTTTTAAAAAGAGATAATGGTTTGGATGGCTGCTATTGTCCTGGGGGCAGCTCACACATTCATGTAAACGACTCCAGCCTGTGCTGGAAACTTGGTGCAGAAGCTCACTTTTGGCACAGTTAAAGTGTATTGTTCCTCCCACTGCAATTCACTCTTTACTATTAATTTTGCATAAGGATTTATCTTGTTACATAGGAAATGTTCTTTTAAAAAAGTGATCCTTTAAAAATATGTTTAAGCAACAAACAAGCTGTCTGACAGGGAAGTGGCTACCATAAGTCTGTCTTTTCAAAAATTAACAAACATTTTCATTTAAAAAATTTACAATATAGGCCAGGCGCGGTGGCTCACGCCTTGTAATCCCAGCACTTTGGGAGTCCGAGGCAGGTGGATCTTGAGGTCAAGAGATTGAGACCATCCTGGCCAACGTGGTGAAACCCCATCTAATACTAAAAAAAAAAACAAAAATTAGCTGGGCGTCGTGATGCGCGCCTGTAGTCCCAGCTACTCAGGAGGTTGAGGCGGGAGAATTGCTTGAACCCAGGAGGCGGAGATTGCAGTGAGCTGACATTGCAGTGAGCTGAGATTGCGCCACTGCACTCCAGCCTGGCGCCTGGCGATGGAGTGAGACTCTGTCTAAAAAAAAAAAAATTAAAATATAAAGTAAATGTTTAATTACAGAAAAAAGGAACATACAGATTACTTCATTATGCTTATGATTTGATAATATCACTATGTTGGAATAAATTTCTTTGGGTATACCTTAATTTATAGATTGCATAAAATGAGTCTGCAGACAAATTTGGGTCATTAATCTGTGACAACAAAAGTTTGTGGAGCAGACAAGGAGAGAAACAGGGCCAGCTGTCCTACCCACCAGGTCCCCAGTTTGGCAGGCTCTGCAGCAGTCAGCAGCTCTCCCAGCAGCTCCCACAGGACTCCCTTCCAGAGAGCATGGGTGGAGGTCAAGTCAGCTGCCCATCGCTGATGGGAGAACCACGTTTCCTGCCACTGTCAGTCACAGTTCATCCAACCTCTAACAATCAGCTGCATTTGAAGAGCGGCAAGAAAGGGGCTAAGGGTGGTGCAGGACACATGGAGAAGGAAGGAGGCAGCAGGGTACAGGCAGGCAATGGTGACAGGCTGGGAGCCTCCTCTGTGCACCCACTTGGGGGCTGTGGCAGATCCACCTGCACGCACAGGCTGTAGAACACGCAGCTGCTCCTGGAGGTGGGAGGTGGGAGGCGGGAGGTGGGAGGCCTGGCAGGAGCCCACGCAAGATTTCCTAAAGTTACGCTCAGGAAGCTGAAAGACTTTCAGTGCTATGTCTTTATAATAGTAACCAGTGTACTTTTTAAGTAGAAAGATATCAAGATCTATACACATGTTAAAATTGTATCTACCAAATTATACTTAAAATGGTTAAAATAATAAATTTTATGTCATTTTACCACAATGAAAATTATATTTACCATAAAAATAAATACTAAGTGTTGTTTCTTCTTCTTCTTTTTTTCCAACAGGGTATCTCACTCTGTCACCCGGGCTGGAGTGGTGCAATCATGGCTCTCTGAGGCCAACCCTAAGACTATTTCAAGTCTTCCATACTCTTTAAAGCAAGGCTACTCCGACGTGTTACTAGTCACTGAAGTGTAAGAGGCACTTTCTGAGAACATGTTCTCACTTATAAAAAAGCCCTTGGAGACACCCCTCAAGAGAGATAAAATAAGGACGGGGGTACCACATCACTTACATCTCACGAGGGCCCATGGAGAGCCTGAGACTGGGCTGTACTGGAGATGAGGGACATGTGGAAAGGGGTCCTGCCAACTCATATCCTCCAGGCTGGGCCTGCACACTCGAAACCCATGATGCTGAGGGTGATGTGCATTTGCTTGGAGGAATGCTGGCCACAGAACTGATGATAGAGTGGACAAGGTCCACCTTCCACCCACTGTGGAAGTTCTGAATCTCTCTCGGCCTCATTTTCCTCCCTTGTAAGATTCTGTGATTCTCTAATTCCTAATGCTGCTGCTGTTCCTCACTGACACGTGCCTCTGTTTGAGGGGGAAAGATGGTTCCAAAGTCTCCAGTGCTAGATGTGGGTGGTGAAGTTGACACCTTTCTCTGTAAGCGTGGCAGCATGGGGTGCTAGAAACAGCCAGCCATCTGCGGTAAGTGCCTTCTGCAGGCTGACAGGTAAGCTTGGTTGACTGAAGGCTTTCTGTGTTGCAAAGGGCTCTCTGGTGCAAAACAGAATTGCACCTGAACATTTCCAATCTATTTGTAATGAAAAATTTACAAAGATGGAATAGCTAACTTTAACTTTAAAAAGCATTTTCAAATTTGTTGTTTTAGTAATTACCAGATCCTTGAGAGAAAAAGTACTCTAAACATTATAAAGGGTTAGGAATAATCTTTTATTGGGGATATTTATATGGAGCAAAGTTAATTTCTTAGAATTAAAAAAATCAATTTTCTTGCCTGAATTTTGTTGTTGGTAAGATATTTTGGGAGCTGTCAAAATCTAAGCAGAAAACACACAAATCACAAAGGAAGAGAACCAACTTGAGACCATCTCCAGAAAAAATTTACAAATTCAGTTCAAGAATTGGAAGTGATGTCAATGCACAGATGTTTCTCCTGAGTAAACTAGAGCCGAGGTTTCCCATTGTGCAACAAGAAAGGTGAATGGAACAGAGTAAGCTACCCAGGTGCAGAGAACCTCACCTGGGTACCTCCATTTCCTGAATTCCTAAAAAGGCAGCCCCTGTATCACCCACGAGCTCAGAAGTGAGGATGGGGCAAGTTCTGGGGCAATGGAAGTTGGCTGCAGACCAAGAAGAGAGTGGTAGTGGGCACCACACCCAAGAGGAGTCTCAGAAATACACAACACATGAAGGAAACAGGGTTTCTGCCTCACTGCCATTGAAACAATGCTAAATTTACGTATTTCTACACATATTTTATGGATATTT